GGAGTTCTAACAGCATATCAAAAAGTTGTTTCTAGGGGATGGGTCAGGATTTCTCATAAATTCATATTTTCTGATTCCATTTTATTGTCATTTGGATTGCTTTTTTCAAACAATATTAATGTTTAATCTTGCTTTGAATTTGCCATGTTTACTTCTTATTTCAATGTACTTTGCAAGGGTTTAGGAATGGAGATATTTTCCATTGTAGGCACAAGCTTGTGATAAGCTTAGCATCATGACATTTTCCATGTTTCCACAATCTTTGGTACTTTGCACTATTTGTATATAATTCACTCTACTCTGCACTGAACAACACTACATGTATTGGTGAGTACGGAGTGGATGAAGCTCAGAATTATCCCTCGTTTAGAGTCTTGCAGGGGATTCAATAGTATAAATATTACTTCCAGAATTATGAAAGGGCACAGAAATTTTTTTTCAAGATCTAGTATGGATACTAATAGAGCTGGTGAGTATAGAAATTGTGAGACTGAAGTGTGCAGTGGTTGTTAGTTGTTATTCTGGCTGTTACAGTGGGGAGAATGGGACGAGTGGTGCCCCATCACAGACGGACCTGCTCAAGCTGTTGGCAAGTGGCAGTGGTGGGGGTCTTGGGGGGGGCCTTGGGGGACTGGGAGGTCTTGGGAGTCTTGCAGCCGCTGCACAGGCCAGACAGAATGGCAGCATGATGAGGTCCTATGAAGCTCTGCTACAAGGACCATCTGCTGGCAGAATGGCTCCTCAGGCAGTTACACTCCCAGGACCTACACGCAGACGTAAAAAGAAGAGGCGCAGGCAACCTGACATGCCCAAGAAGGCCTGCACTCCATTTATGCACTTCTGCGCTTATTTCAAACGGAAATTGATGGAGGAAGGGAAGGAGTTTCCACAATTTGCTGATTTTGGCAAGCGAGCAGGGGAATTGTGGAGGAACATGGGTGATGAGGAAAAGAAAAAGTTCGTAGAGCTATCAGAACAAGATCGTCAAAGATATATCAAAGACATGAAAGAATATGAGGAAAGAAAGTTAGCTGAGAAAGAGCGAGAACGAGAGCTTCAGCAGCAAAGAGAGAAAGAACTGCAAGTTTTGCGGGAGAAGGAGCTGGAAAAGATACAAAAACAGCAGCGAGAGCAATTGGAGCAGCAGCAAAAGCAGCTGGAGCAACACCAGAAGCACCAGCAACAGAATCCCAATGCCAGCTTAATGAACATGTTAAATCCCCTAAGTCCTCTCAACCCTTTGATGATAGCTGCCATGAACCAAACCCTCATGCAGACAATGCTGACTAACCCTGACCTCATGAAGACTGTTTATTCAGAAGCAGCTAGAAATTATTATATAGAGACACTGAAGAACATCTACCAAAATATGGGGTCCTCACAACCTAACGGTAACAGTGTTCCTGTATCCTCCAGTGGAACACACGGTGGAATATCAGATCACCAGAGCCATCTATCGTCAAGCCCATTGGCATCCATGGGAATGAATGTCAATTTACTTTCTCTACTGAACTCTGGTCAGCTGTCAGCTGTGCCTACTTCCACCTCATCCTCCACTGGCAGCTCCCCCCTGACAAAGACCCCCTCGACCCTCAAGGCACCCCCCTCATCTCTCCTAGGCAGCTCCAACAGCCTGACTGCAGCTGCATTGGACCTCTCTTCAGCAAGGCCAAGTGAGGGCAAGGGTGCCTTTAGTAGTGATGAAGGTAACACTTTATCCTGATTAAAATCAGGGAGGACAGCATGGGTTCTCACTGGAAAATTTTGCATGGTGATGGTGTTTAGTGGCAGTTGCCGGCAGCATGATTGCCTTAGCTACCAAAATTTAAATATTGACTGTAGACTCCTGACCTGTCCCTTGAATTTTTTTTGCATGTTTCTGCTCATATTTTGTGTGAATTTCTTTTTTACATAACTGCATGCTGATATTTATTTGTAGATCTGCCAATATTCATTAATTTCTTTTCTTTTTCAGAAAACTACTAGATACATAAAAAACATGGCTGTGTAGTAGATTTCACAAAGGTAATTATAATGATATTTGTGGCACCACATACTAAATTTTTAAAAGTTTCAGATGGAAGGTTCACTTCAGTAAGCTGCATGAAAAAAAAAAATCTAGGATAAAGTAGTGAAGGGGAAAAAGAGACCTGTTGATGCCCTTAATATTTACCTAAATTAAATTTTAACAAGCTTATCAACTTCAGTAATGTCATTCATCAGCAACATGTGGATGGACATAGATAAGTTATTTTTATATAAAAAGACTTGAAGGGTTAGATATTACTTGTCACTTACAATAAAGAATGTGTTTTTGTCTATTACAATATTGTGCTTCAAGGTGAGTACTGTACACATTTTGAATAAATGAGTTTCATTCATACCAATATTAATACTTAATATTTAATATTCATGATGGGGGGATGTAAAAAGATTATTTATTAACATCAAACTCATCATTGATGGCTGCACTTGCATGGTTGCACTTACAAACAATTAACTTTCACAAATCTAAGTTCAGTCACATACTGGCACATCCAGCATAATAAAAATGAATTCCATAACACAAGCCGCAACAAGAAATCAGCTTTTGACATCAACGTGATTTGTGAGGAAAAATTGTACATCATCCATGTACCAACTTCATTATCTGTGTTGCTATGTTTGTAATCTGGAACGGGTTTTGCGTCATAGGCATTACAGTACAATAGGGAGTTCACTTGGACGGCAGTTTTGCGAGAGAGCGAGTGTGTGTGTGTGTGTGTGTGTGTGTGTGTGTGTGTGTGTGTGTGTGTGTGTGTGTGTGTGTGTGTGTGTGTGTGTGTGTGTGTGTGTGTGTGTGTGCGCGCGTGTGTGCGTGTGTCTATCTGTCTGTCTGTCCGTCTGCGTGCGTGTGTGTGTGCGCGCGCGTGCGTGAGAGAGAGAGAGAGAGAAAGAAAGAAAGAGAGCACGGTGTTTGATTTGTTTGTTGGTGTATTTGTGTGTATATGCGTGTTTGTGCTCTGATTAATTCATACACGTGTATAATCTCTCTGTAGATGGATAGATCCAAGTCGTATCGACAAAATCGCATTTACTAGCTGACGTATTTTTTTGCGTTTAGCGGCAAAGAGGCATACCATCTTTTAAAAGTTGAAAATCAAGTGATATGGAACAAATAATTGAAAATACAAAGAATAAATCACAGAACCAATAGAAACATGATAGACGATAGTACAATTCACACATATTACCACCGCGTACAATATATGCGACAGGCTTATTCGGGGTGAAGCCGGAAGCCGAGCCAGACGTACGCAAGACTGGAATCAAGACGTTATTGCGGAAAATACTGAGTATAATTTGCTGAAACGTCGCCTTTTTCAACAGAGTAAATCGGTATACGTGCATTACTAGCTAATGGAGGGTGAGGACTAGCAACAGAACATTGATTAAAGGCTTATTCAAGCATAGCAATATAGACATAGAGGCATGGTGCATGGGGGATCCGCAGTGTTGCATTTTTTGTTATTGCTATTAATGCACAGATTATTATCACTTGATTGCAAGAAGCTCTGTAAGATACTATTCCTATAAACATGCTTTACTAGAATGTGTAATGTATTCCGTAGGTGAAATAATGTACTATTACAGAACACATTTCCATAATTCATTTTCCTTTACCTTTTTTTCTTTTTTTTACTTTTTTTTCTTTTATTTAACTCCCGCCCGCTGTTATTTCTTAACTGATTATACTCTCTTCTTTTGCAGAGATGACAAAGGAAGCTGATTGTGAAATCTGAGACACAACAAACCCAAAGTAGCAAAAAGTTCCTATCTCCAGTCATTACTTCCCAAATACCATTCAAGCTGCACTTTGTAAAACACAAGCAAACACAGAAGAAATAAAGAGACCTATTCTTTGCCTATATGAGTGTAGTTTGTAATGTGCAAAACTTAGAGTGAATTAGCTTCTGTAGAACGTCTGTGTTGTTCTGTATACTAAAAAAAATAACAAAAAAAAAAATACAAGTACAATTGCCTTTGAAAGAAAAATAATAATAATAAATGATAAAATAAAGCCACATGAAGTATTATGCATGCAAATGATTTTTAATATTAAAAAGGACAGACTCACAAACAAGTAACTAGTGTGGGACTGCATTTTTTGTTGTGAAGTTGCCTGGCTGTGATGAAGTGATGCTTGTGAAGATTTGAGCAATTTTTCCAGCAAGTCAGGAGGAGAACTGAGCAAGGAAAGGATAAGGCCATTATAGCTTAAGAAAGTGTGTTTTCTTTTGCAGGAAAGGAGTGAAGTGAAACATTTTACTTACTTTTGTGAGAGAAAATATAGTAATAATTACTTAAGAAATCATGGAAGGCATGGATGAGATTGCACCAGGCCTTGGTTTACAGGAGTTCTGTAGCCAACAGGGAGACAGTACTATATATTACCACCTTTTAAACCTATCAGGCAGCGTGTATGTCTGGGTAGGCACTGAGCAGGGCAACTTGGAGGGCATGGTGGCAGCTCTAGGGTCCCGCCTGGGACCTTCAGCTGTTACCACTCTCCTCGGCTCTTCCGATGCCCAGAGTCTCCAAGCTTCCCATCTTGCAGAGAGGTTACAAAGGCGCACACAAAGGCACATCCTACTGAGCCTCAACCTGCCCAGTGACGAATTAATACCTCATGTGGAGCAGCGCCTGCTGGAGGAGCTCTGTGTCGTATAAAGGCCAAGGCTCATGAAATTATTTCGCTGTTTGACTGCCCAAAAGATCCCCAAACCCACCCATCCACCCCCCAAATTCTCAGTATATATATATTTTTTTTATGTCATATGCTATATGGCCTTATATTTGTTGTTTGATTTTTGTATTTTTTTTATTATTATTATTATTTCAACTACAATTATGCATTAAGTAATAAATAAATGTCTGTCTGATCTAATACAAGAACATAATTTTACTTGTAAATATTGTACTTATATATTTTTTGTCTTTTGACTACAGTTGCAGTATATTTATGTTGTAGGATAAGGACAATCTACTTAATCACATTGAGCAAGTATGTTGCCTTAATGGGAAGATAGGGTACCCCTTTTCCAGCCTATTATTAGTCTTCCAGAATTAGAAGATAAAAAAAGATGTAGAGTCTTGGCCTATATACTCACAAAGCTTGATAATAGTATATTGTGTTCAATGTTGAAAATTAAGGAAAAAAGGTATATCAATGTTGGAAACACAATGGTCTTTAGAACAGAAGGCTTATGCAGTCATTTATGCAAAAATAAATACAGAAATATCGAGCCAATGCTAAGAAGCTGCTTGTACTACCAATGGATTGACCTTGTATGCACTGGCTAGCCTCCCCTGATTATGTCAACTATATATTCTGTTCAGCAGTAATTATGTGATAAGACTGCTCTCTCTTCAGTGAGAAAGTTCTGCAGCATTGCCTTCACTGCATATAGCTTTCCAAGATCTTCTGCTTGTCTGAAGAAACTGGTGATTGCACAGCTATTTAAGTCCACAAATTTAAGTGGTGCATACAAGTGATAATTGAAGGTATGATATTAATGTACTATATCAGGGTAGATGTTAAGTTCCTCTTTATTTTTACAGAAGCTTTTTTGTAATCTCCTTTATAGAGTTTTTTTTTAATATAAATTTCTGTATATTTGTCCTATGCAATAGGTGGTAATAACTAGCAGTCTTTTTGCTTCCCAATTTGTAGTTACTACCTCACAGGTGATAGATTAATGAAAAGACATTCCCTGTAGCCCGTGACTCGTTAGGCAGCTCAGGAAACACAGGGGAAGCTGCTGGAGAGGCCAAGCACTACAAACCCTGCATTTAAGGATAAACACCTGTATAATGATAACACACTTTGATATGCATTTTGTTGTGATTTAATGAAGCAAGTGAAGTAGTTCTTGCAACATAGAATAACCATGAAAGTGGGATTTTGTTGTAGATATGCTTGTGCCTCCTCTGCAGCTTCCTCCATCCTTAATTTCCCACAGTATCAGAAATCCCCCGCCATATGTGAACCCCCTGTGCCACCTCGCAGCTTTTGACAACAGTGCTGGTGTGGTTGTGAATTGGTGATCACAATAGATGTTCAGGTATGCATAATGTAAATCTCTATAGTGTTTTTCACTTAATTTACCTCTGATTTTTATTTGATTTTGGCATACATTTTTCCTATTGGAATACACAGTTACATGACTGATGGATACTTAAGTTGATTTTAAAACAGACTTGAACTTTTGTTGTGATCAATATCTGTGCCATGATTAGGTCCTTTCCTGGACCTTGAAGTGTGATAACTGAATGTTGATGTGCCTGGAAACCAGTCATAGCATTGAACATATTGTTTATTGACATGATCAGTATTATCATAATTCGTGATATTGAGTACTCCCCTTTGAGGAATCTCATATGATCATGCTATGGTTGGTCTCCTCCCCCAGCACTGGCTGTCACTTGGTGATGTCTTGGTGTGTATTGTGGTTTTTCAAGTCAACAACTTTTGCTCCAGCTTTTGGTTTCCCGTCTCATTTACTTTGATTTATTTGTTCAAACTTTTCCTCAACTTATGTTCTTAGAGTACTTTTACATACACCCAAGACTCACTTCCATGCTTAATGATGTAGTCCTGATGAAGCCTCAGGGTAGAGGGTTCGCTCCCCGGTAATGTGGGTCCTATGTTGAGGCCTCCTTTGGCCCTCGCACAAGTGATAGATTAATTAGTTTAGTTTTATCTCACACTGAGCAATTCATATTAATTTAATTACAGAGAGGATAGATAGTCACCCAAAGTACTATACTTTGTTCTCAAAGTGGCCACACCCATCTACATCAAAAGGATGTAGTAGAGGTTGTGACATTTTTCAAGACAATCATTTCTTTTTATCAATTATTTCTGTGTTATATTTCAATCAATAAAGATTTTAGTTTTAAATAAGTTATAGGGAAATCTTGTGTGTTCCAATTTCTAGTTGATGTGCGAGGAGTTCTAGGGAGGTCCAAGCAGCAAGTTGCTGCTGTGAAGTCGTGATAGTGTCAAATGCTAGTCTGACGGTGGGGAGCAAAGCCTCCGTCCCAAACCCACCCTTCTACCTCCTGACCCATATTTTATCCCATCAGTCACCCTTGCCTACCATGAGCATTCTGCAGAAGTTTTAAACACTACTGATTTTAAAATAAGTTTTGTGATGTTAGCAGGTGTAAGTGGTGTGGCATTGGGCTATCTGATTCTGTGTGTGAGATTAGTTCCTATGTTCTACACATGGAAGCAGAATCCAAACCATTCCTACCAGAGCCCAGTTCAAAGATGGACTGGAGCAGCCATGTCGCAACCCAAGTTCCTCGCCTAAACAGGTTCCTCTCCCCTTTAGCAAATCCTGCCCCTTTAGCTCCAACTGTATTTTATTTTGCCAATCCTGTCCCAGACTCTTGTATGATTAGTAAATGCCAGATTCCAGTCGCAGACTGAAGATTTTATGCAATTACTGCTAG